ATCGCTTCTGGATGAAGCTGTCTTGGAAGACACCAAGAGAGTGCTGAACGCACGGAGTAGATCGCCGATCCTACGGAATCCCTTGGATTCGTACTATCCTTTAGTAAAAGAATTTTAGGACATCGTCTCCTAAGACCCGCCTTCGGTCCTAGCTCCGAACCGATGTGTGCGTCATGACATGAACCTGACTCCGGGAACCAAATACTACCTAAGGCACCAATGGCCCCTGCCTAAAAAGCAGTATGACGTCATTGACGCCTTTTTCCGTGCGAAGCACAACGCAGCGATGGTACGTGGGAGCAAGTCCCACCATTCGACACCCACGTTTTGTGTTCGGAAGCCGAACGGCAAGTGGTGTATCGTTCATGCTTACAAAAGCTGAACGCGGCCACCATTCCGGCACAGTTGCCGATCTAAGAAGTATGTTCTCCAGAACAATATGGTTAGCTGTACAAAGTACAGCGTATTCAACTTGGTCGATGGATATTACTAATTGCTCATGAGAGCGAGTGATATTCCGTAAGTATTCCGAGCGGGACGCATTTGAAGTCGCTGGTGATGTATCGAGGGCTGTAAAATGCACCAGCAACATCAATCGTCTTGTGGCGTAGTTGTGTAGGCCCCACCGGGCGTATGCACAAACATACTTTGACTACATCTTTGTCCACAGTCGTGCGAAGCACGGGAGGACAGAGGAGAAAAAGAACATCGTTCAATTGAGAGCGGTGCTCGAGTGCATGCGCGAATAAGCTGTGTGCTAATGCCAATAAGTGCGTCTTCGGCGCGAAATTTATTTTCTATATAGGGTACTTCATTGGAAAGCGTGGCCTTCGAGCGGATCCCACTAAGGTCAAGATCATTGTGTTTTGGACGGCCTCAAAAAGCCAGAATGACTTGCGTTCGTTGCTTGGTCTCACCAACTACTTGCACAAGTACAGCGTAAATTACGCAGAAATGGCCCGTCCCTTATTCAATCTCCTGAAAAAGGATGCGAAATGGTGTAGGAACACCGAACATCAGGAGGCTTTTGACGGGGTCAGAAACAGCCTCCTGCATGCACCAAAACTGGCGCTGCTAGACTCTGATCGTCCTTTCACCGTCGTCTGTGACGCTTCGGTATTCGCCATCGGCTGTGCACTGCTGCAAGCAGACGCCGAGGGGCGAGATCGGGTGATCGCGTTCGAATCTCGACAGCACAAAGCTGAAGAGAAGACTACCCAATTCATGACAAGGAGCTACTTGCGATGAAGTTAAAGTATGCACTTGTCAAGTTCAGGGTCCACCTGCTCGGCTCCAAGCCGTTTGTATTCTACACGGATCATGCGTCATTACGCACTGCGACTCAGTCGCCCCACCTCTCGCAGAGGATAACTAGATGGCTATCCTTCTTTGCGAAATATAACTTCGCGGTGAAGGATAAACCGGGAAAGCAGAATGCTTTGGCTGACGCGTTGTCATGCGGACCAGACTATGAGCTTGATCATGTTACAACTGTAACGTCGTCTGTGACGGCTTTGATCCGCACCGCGAATGCGGGTGATGGGATGTGTGTAGCGTTGCTACGGGCTCAAGGGAGCAAGGGGTTTAGAAACTCGGACAAGACATTGTCATCACGACTTTGTGCACGATTGCATCGATATTCGTTAAATAATCGGTTGCTATGTTACAGCACCGATCAACGGAGACACCACAAATTATAGTTCCTCATGATGAAGATTTGAATAGCGCATCCTCTCTGAGGCTAACGACACGCCACTCAGTGGTCATCTCGGTCGTGAGAAGACGTACAGCTCTGTCAGTCATCATTATTGGTGACCTAGGTTGTACAAATGGACGAGCACCTATGTGCGCACGTGTGAGACGTGTCAAGGGGTAAAACCCTTTCCAAATGCGGCTGCGCCGCTAGACAGCTTACCGGTACCCACTGGGTACTGGCAGTCCATGAGTTTGGACTTTGTGATTGGCCTGCCG